TAACAGCATGATCTGCTGGAAAGACCTGTGACCTTCCCCTCTGAGGTCTGGAGTGAGGCAAGTGTGTCCACTCTGCCACTTCTCAACATCTAACTGCAAGTCCTAGCCACATCAGTTAGATGAGAAAATAAATAAAAATGTAGTCGAACTGGAAAGGAACTTGAAAAATTATCCCCATTTGCAAATGAGATGCCACATATGTAGAAAATCCTAAAGACCCCCCCAAAAAACTGGTAGAATTAATAAATGAATTTAGTAAACTTGCTGTGTACAAAATCAACACACAAACATCAATTCTGTTTCTATACAGTAACAATAAAATGTACAAACAGTCAAATAAAATACATGTTAACAATAGAAACAAAAAGGACACAATACAAAGGAAGAAACTTAACCAAGAGGGAGAACAACTTGTACAATGAGAATTACAAAAAATTGATGGTGAAAAGTAAAATAAAAACAAATAAATAACAAACATTTTATGTCCGTCGGTTGGAAGAATTAATATTTTTAAAATGTCTATACTGTCCCAAGAGATCTACAGTTTCAAAGAAGCCCTGTGAAAATCACAAAGGCATTTTTAACAGAAATAGAAAAAAATCCTATAATTTATATGAAACCAAAAAATGTACTGAATAGTCATAGCAATATTGAGCAAAAATAACTTAGATGGAGGCATCACATGCCCTGATGCCAAAATACATAACACAGATGTGGTCATCAAAACAGTAGGGCACTGGCATAAAAAAAGATACATACATTAACGTGCAGAATGGAGACTCCAGAAATACATCCGCCCATCTACGTGCAACTGTCTTTGACGGTGGTGGTGGCAACACACAACACGTCTCTTCAATACATAGTCTAAAAAAGCTGGATATCCACATGTGGTCAAATTAAATCGAACCCTGTCTTACACCACATGCAAAACTCGAGGTAATTAAAAACATAAAAGTAAGACCTAAAATTGTAAAAATTCTACAAAAAATACGATAGGAAAAATGCTTCTTGACACTGGACTGGCATTCTTCATTTTAGATAAAATGCCGGAAGCAAAGGATACAAAACTAAAAATAGACAAAGGAAGCTGTGTCTAACTAAAAAGTGTCTGAACAAATGGAAACAGTTACCAGGCTGAAGAATAAAACAATGTTCAGAACAGCAGAATGTATTGTAAAATCGTGTATCTGCTAAGGAGGTAATATACAAACTGTACAAGGAACACATGCAACTGAATGGTAAATAAATATGTAAATAAGTAAATAATGGGAGCAGAACCAAACAGAAAATCCTCAAGAGAAGACATATACACCTCCAACAGGTGTAGCAAACTGTACTCAACCTCACTGGTCACCAGAGAAATGCAGGTAAAAACCACGCTGAGACGTCAACGCACAGCTGCTAGAATGTCCATTGTCAGAAAGATGAAAGGCGACGAGTGTTCATGAGGATGTGGGGTTTCTA